AATAAGAGAATAATTACACTTGGTGTTGAAAGTAGTTTGCCCTGTCTGGAGTTAAGAGATTAAAATGAATAAAGAAGTAATGAATGAATCCAAAAGAAGCAGCAGAAATCCAATTTTTCAACTTATACATAAAATTTTATATTTTTAGGTCCTCAACTAAAGAGACACAATAAGGGATTCAAAAAACTAAAAACATTTGCTGATTTTTTTTCTTAAAACCCAGGAATTTATCTTATGTGCTGGTTCAGATTGAAACGATCACAACATGTAACATATCTGATTATACAGGAAGGATCTTGGACGGAAAGGGAACGTACCAAATGCAAGAAGTGATGTTTCCGGTTTGTTATGGCGGAAAGACTTCTGTCATTTCTAAATTTGTTTGTGGACTTTTAAAAGTGTTCTGCCACTTGTAAATTTGTCTCAGTGCTTTTAAAGTGTTTCACATCTTCATTTGTTTTGTAAAATGTAAAAATGTTTTTCAAAATGTAAAATTGTCTCAAATCTTGTAAAAGTGTTTCAAACTTTGACTTGAAATGACTTGAAATTTCAGTTATACTATTAAATATATATGTCAAAGGGTCAAAGGTCAAATATATCTTTATCGTCCCCACAGGGAAATGCGTGTGTGAACTTCAAGGATTTTGGACTGAGTAAAACTGAATACATTCAGAAGGGTGATATTTTGATTCTTAATGTTATAAGTGTCACATTGAATGAAAGCCATGTGGGAAAATAGTCAGCTGATTTCAGACTCTGCTGCCACCCGGTGGTAAAAAAACACAAAGGAATTCATCTCCAATCTTCTGATCTAAAGAGCTCGTTTGTTTGACATCAGGCTCCGTCAGGCAGAGAGACACTGAGGCAATGGATGTCTTTATATGAGTCAACAAATGTCTAATAGTGTCCCATTGTTTATTAATAAGTGACAGCTGCACTGCAATTCAAGTCCGGGGATCAGCAGTCCATGTGTAATTAATGAGAGCTGCGGTGCTGTCGACATGTCGGCTTTAATGATTCAGCAGCAGTATTGTATTCTAAGTTGCATTTAAGACGTGCTGCGAGCTCGCTCCAAAAACAACGGTTAGCGTCGTCTGAAAACACAGAGGAACAAGACACAAGCAGAACAGTTCAAATGAGGAAAAATGAAAATGAGACTTTTTAAAATGAGCATGAGTTTAATTATTTCACACAAAGCAAAACATTTAAATATTATTCACATCAACATAAAGCCAAACTGCACTCATCACCCGGGACTACAGATGGAGTCTAGCTAATCAGCTTAATCTGCTGCAGTGCATCTCCTCTCAACAATAGAGATTTATATTTTGAACACGCTCCCTGACAAACTCAGCAATAAACTAAACAGTGCTTTCTGTTTGCTTTTTTTTTTTTTGTCTGTCCTATTATAATAAGTCAAAGTGACAGGTGAGTATTTCACACTAATTCAATCAATAGCAAGTGAAAGTTGGAAAGAATCAGCAACTCTGGATCAATGACCTCGTGTCGAGTGATGCTTTGTCTCGCTGCAACACAGAGGGCTCATCGTTCACTCGTCCCGCTGCTGAACACAGCTTCAAAAATATTAATCGTTCCCACCACAGAGGTAGAGCAGAGCCTTCTGGTAGTCTCCACCTGTGTCCTCCTGCAAAAAAAAACAACAAACAAGGTACAATTATTTGATTAATGAAACAGTCAGAGGGTTCCTTTTCACTTTCTGAATGGATTCAGAGATAAATATATTCCTTTTTCTACATTAAGCTTTAAATGGAGCGGGCGTGGGAGGTTTGCTTTTTGTCTCTTTCCTTAAAAGTTCAAAACGTCCTACTTTGTGTTTGGTATTTTTCCAATGACGCTTGTATGTCACGCTGTCACTTCTCATGCTTAACGTTGGCGGTTGTGTAGCGGTGGGTGGACCGGCTGCTCCGCCTCTCCACATGGCGTGTTGAGAGTTTGTCCTTGAGCGAGACAATGAAACCTCTAAACTGCTCGTATTGTCACCGTCGCTCTCGACAAAAAATTGTCAACGTGCCAAATGAATGTAACGTAGTGTCATGAATCTCAACGCTCTCAGCCGACACCCACAGGCTCCAAAAAAAAAAAAAAAAACAATGAGCCCATGCACGCTGGAGTCATAAAACTGCATATGATGGATTGAATGACGACAGAAAAAAAGATAAAAAGACGATAAATTAAGATCTACAGAAGCCCTAAGAGGGCAATACAATTTATTTTACTCTGTTTTTCTGAGATATGATGTACATTTTGGATATTATCTCGGGATATCAACTGCTGTATCCTGTGATCTTTGGAAAACATTGATGGTTTTTTATGTGATAACAAGTTTATTTTAGTCGTTCTCTCAAGATCCCGAGAAACTAACTCAACATATTTATGTTATTATCCAGAGATATGGCGAGATAAGTAAGATGAAATCTTGGTGGAAACTTCTGAAATTACTCTGAGAAAAGCTAAATGTACACATAAGTCTGGTTCGTGCCTGGTACTGCCTAAGTGTATACAAATTACTTCACACATTACTTTTTAATTACAGAGAAACTTGGAAGCACAAAAACAACTCAGCAAAAAACGTACTTCACCAATTCTGCATTGACAAAAATTTAAAAAAGTCTCATTATACTGGATTTATTATAATGAGCTGGAATACAACGCTGTCACTAAGCCTTACTTTAATTTTTGCCCGTCGGCCAATATCACTCAGGTAACTCAGCCTGTGGCAAAAAAAATGATTTTTTTCCCAAAACACCATCATTAAAAAAAGAAACTAAAACTGTCAACAGGACATCTCCAGATACACGGTCAACTATGACTCAAGATTTTTGATCCATGATTGTTATTTTTAAGCTCACTATCTGATCTGACATTAAGGAAACATGCTATGTTGAAGTGCTGGCTTCTCTGACAACAATGCAGCAGTCAGTATGTCCTCCTTCTAACTTTAGATTCTGCTCCTGAATGCTCTGGATTTGTTTGGACCAGAGAAGGTAGGCGCTTTTAAGACACGCCCCCACACAGCCAGGCAAACGGCAAACCAACAGGTGTTGCAGCGATGGAAGCGGTCAAGAGAAGTGGTTCAGATAGAAGTGATTGTACCCGACCTAAAAAGCCTCTGCATGTTTCTAATAAGCTCCACGAGCAGAAACGTGCTCAAACTAGGATCAATATTGGAGATGCTTTTGAAAAATGGAGAGAGGTTAGAACACAGAAAGGTTTACAGACCCATGCAGAGCTGGATAAACACTGAAGCTTCAGAGTCCACCACATGGTGACCTGTGTGAGCATGGACTCTAGAGAGGAGGGGGGGGGGGGAGACAGCTCTCTACAATGTTTTGAATATGGACTGCAGTACCCATTTTAAACACTAGGTGTCAGAGTTACATACTGCTCCTTTAACAGATTTAGCCGATTCTACCCGACCTAAAAAACCTCGGCACTTTTCAAATAAACTCCACGAGCAGAAACGTGCTCAAACTAGGATCAGTATTCTTCTATTCTAAACTTTCTTTGCCTCAAGAACAGAATTTAGAAAGATTGCACGGTCATTTGTGTGAAGAAATTCAGTTAAAATATGTGTTAAATTTGTCAATTAAATCAAACTAATTAGCCATTATCAACCATAACAGGGCTGTGGAGCTCTGACATCTAAACGGTATGCAGACAGAAATCAGAATATAAGTTACAACTGTGATTGACAAGTCAAAAATATCAGCTTTGAAAATGATCAACAGTTATAAAACCTCCCAAAATATTGTCGCTGGCATAAATACATTCTAATGAAAAATGTGGGTTTAAAAATCTCAGTAATCAAATATAAATAAGCTGTAAGGAAAACTATATATTATTCCTTTCTATAGTCGGCTGCATTCATTAGCGTTATTTCATAATATCTTTTTTAATATCGGCCACTGGGCGGTTCCATCGGAGGGCGGCAATAACTCAGCCTGAACATCTGGCCTCAGGAGAATAGATTAATTCACTTCTGCTCCTGTGAAAGGCATGGGAAGCAGTCTCATCAAGCTGAACAAGGCACCTAAAGTAAATCAGTAATCTCCTCTCCATCACTGCGCTGACATGAATGGAGCATCAGCATCGTATAACCAATGTACACGCAGCTGGTGCTTAGGAGCATGCAGAGGCAGAGATGAGTTTGTTTAGAACATCAAGTGGATAAATATGAGGAGGATTTAAACTTTTTTGTCTTCTGAGGGATCGAGTCATAGAGAAAACAGTAATAAGAGGTAATGGAGCGCTGTATACCTGGATAGTGGAGTAAAGAGAGGCTCCATACATCTTCTTGAAGCTGGCTCTGATGTCCAACATGTCCGCCTCGCTCCTCGACACCATTATCCTCATCAGGGTTTCGTCATCAGTTCCAGCGCGCTAAACACAAAAAACATCTTCCCGTTAACAGCTGGAGTTAACAGTCTTTTCAATTGCTTCTTCATCCAGGCTGAACACACATTACACACCGAGTGAGAGGAAAACATGTACTCCAAGTTTACAACATGCTGCGTTTCACACATAGCTGTTTATTAAAAACAGCATCCAGATTTAGCTTCTTGTTGCATTTTTGGAGCAAGAAGTTCAAATGCACGTCGTGCAGATCCAGATTTGTGGTCGCTCTTTTTTATTATTCTTGGCAGATTGTGGACTCGTTTCTTTATCATATGAAAATGAATGATACAGTGTGACTTTTGAAACCCGCTTGCTGTGTTTCCAGTCTCTATGCTAAGCTACATCAACAGTCTCACATTAACCGCGCCCACATCACAACACATTTATAGAAATGTACATTTTTCAAAATAGAATATATGGCCAGAGAAATTCATCCACAAATGTAAAACACTGATTGTAAAATATTTTTTGTGATATTTCAGATTCTTTAAAGATGAAAAATCGCTAGTAAACTTACTAATTAAAGGAGCTATATGTAAAACATCTACTGAATTATTCATAAAGTGAGCTTACTCTATGATCAGACATTAAGGAAACATGCTATGTTGAAGTGCTGGCTTCTCTGACAACAATGCAGCAGCCAGTATGTCCTCCTTCTAACTTTAGATTCTGCTCCTGAATGCTCTGGATTTGTTTGGACCAGAGAAGGTAGGAGGTTTTAAGAAAAATGGAGAGAGGTTAGAACACAGAAAGGTTTACAGACCCATGCAGAGCTGGATAAACACTGAAGCTTCAGAGTCCACCACATGGTGACCTGCGTCTACAGACTTTAGGGTGGAGGGGGCGGGGATGTCAGCTCTACTCAATGTTTTGAATTTTGACTGCTGTACCCAATTTAAACACTAGGTGTCAGAGTTACAATATTGCTCCTTTAACAAGTTGAATCTTAGAGTTTTCAGTTACCACAAAGAACAAAGTTTTTAAGTCATTCAGCCTACAGCGGGGTTGCAGACAACAAAGTTTTAACTTAAATTAAAACTTGGTTTGTTTTTGGATAAGCCCAAACAAAAACACCCTGAAGCAATAAAGGAAAGACAACATCACACAAGTTGAGACAGAGAGACCTCCAGGGAGATACTGCGGCACACTGACACCTACCCTCATTGATTTATACAGGCCTTCAGCAAAAAACGCTGGTACACTCCTGGCACATTTCACTGTGGAGGAATAAAAACACGAGGCTCTGTCAGGTTTACACGTAGACCTGCAACCCTGTCAAGGTAATCTGACATTGTGTTGGCATTGATTTCTTCTGTCAAGACTTGTCCCCCCCCCCCCTTTGTTTAATTCTTACAGGCACATCAAAAACAAAACCTGTGAGATTATTAAGACTCAAGTACTGTTCCTGACAAATCACAGGTCTTACCAACAGCTAGCAGTAAGTTCTCCAGATTCCCTGTGGTCTCTCCTTCAATGCTGTCCTCCATATCAGAGCCCGAGATTTTCTTGTACGCATCAAACACTGCAGAGAACAACAAAAACACTTTTAATTTTTCAGAAAATGTTAAATGATTTGGTGGCAGACACATCTGCCTGAAGATGTTCTGAGTTCTGAATCTGGATTTCTTTATGATTGAAGTCGACTTTGCTTTTATATTTGCTGCAGCGCTTGTTATTTGATTTCACATTTTGAAGTCTGTTTAAAAAAACACAACCTGGTGAAAATCTGTGCCTTAAACTTGTTTGTTGAAACGTTTGGACATTTCTTGAGTTCTCTTTGTAAGCTGTCCCACAGTTAAGACAAAAAAAATAACTTTCCTAGCTAGCACACTGGCTACTGCCACCTAAGTCTTAGCAGTTTATGTTAGCATTCAACCCATCCTTGCTTGGTAGTTTAGTTTATTTGCACATTGTTGAAAGAAAAGTCAAACAGGCACAAGCAAATTCAAATAATCACATGTGCAGGTGAGGTAGAAACCCTGAGGGCTTATCTCAAAACTTCACCTTAAGGGCACGGTCACACTGGCCAGCTGTACCGTGCTGTACTCAAGCACGATTGGCCCCCCCGCTGCGGCATTTCCACGCTGGCCAGGACTAACCGTGCCTAAAAGCACGATTACCTCTTTACAACACATTTTATGTTATTATGAAGCGTGCTCAGTTTACAAGACAGACGGACAAGAGAGAGAGAGAGAGAGAGAAAAAGATACCCACAGGCGAGTCCACGGCCGCACATCAGAGAACAACACAGAGAACATGACAGATACTTTACTGACTTTGCGGCTATTTTTAAGCCATTTTAATCAGACACAGCAAAAAATTAATTTTAAAATAAAAAGAAGCACGGCCGAGTCCGCGCCCGCACATCAGAGAACAACAGAGAGCATGAGAGCTACTTTGTGTCTTATATTGAGTCATGTTAGTCAGATACAGACATGAAACTGAAGGAACATGAAGGCTGTCAGCGTTGTGTACCCGTGTGCTTGTGCTCGTGCATGAAGTGTACCGTGCTGAAGCACACGTCTCCGAAGTGTGCCAAAGCCAAGGAAGTGTACCGTGCCTGAGCACGATATGGAGCGGTCACACTGGTCAAACGAACTGGAATTTAGCGTGGAAGCGTGCTTGGGCGCGGCACAGATGGCCAGTGAGACCGCGCCCTAAGAGTTAAACAAAGCGGAGTAGTAAGCAGAGTGTTAGCCGTATAGTGATAGCGGAGTCGGCAAAGTAATAGCGTCACCTCATAGCTTCGAGGAAAAGTGTAGCCCGACAATAAACTCAGATCAAAAAGAACTCGACGCAGTAAACAAAGAGCAACAATGGAGGACGTCCATCAGAAATCTACATCTCCGAGGTCGTCCACAGGACAGCTAACACGCTGACATTAGTCGCAAAAAAACAAAGACAGCCTTGAAATGACTCTCTTAACATCCAAGGGAACGTTTAAACATGGCACGTTTTGTGTTTGTCCTTTATTACCGCTGTCGCACAGGAAGTGACTACTGCAATTCAACCAATCAACGGACCGCAGCGTGTCTAGCTCCAGCCTTTAGGTACAGATTAGTACGCTAGGCTAGCCGACAAGAAAGGTAGCAAAAACGTAGAACAGTACAGAGCGGTTATTTTGGTACCATTCCAAACTTTGGACAACAAATATGCACTTTACCAAACCGAACCGCACTGAATTGAACCAGATCGCTGTGTGGAATGGGGGCTTTAGTTATGGTAAGAACACCTGTTGATTCATTCTTTTATATTTAGCTCAGTCTTGCTTGTGATAACGTTTCTTAACATTCAGCTTCATCACTCGTTGACTCACCTGTATTTTGGCCTTTGAGTCCATCTCCATTAATATTTCAGTGAGGTGCTCGTCCAGTTGTGTTTACTAAACGCAGGTGTTGCCATTTTCCCCCTCTGACCTCTCTAACCAGAGAGCAACTTTTTTCGCCTTGAGGACTGCCGCTGAGCTATCTGATTGTTGTTGTTTATCACTCCTACAAACTCTGATTCTCTCTACTTTTTGTCACGCTCTCACCTCGTGGGTTAAAGTGTTGTTTTGTTTGGACAAGTTTTAGTCTCTCTTGCACATTTCAACCTGACCTCTCTTTTAAGGGTGATACATTCTCTTACTTCTCCTGGGACGTATACAGAACTGAATGTGTTATGCCAGAAAGAACAAGTAGGGCTATGCAGCAGATATTAGTTACACATAGGAAGCATCTTCACATTGCACAAGGCCTGAATTGTTTGATCAGTTTTTATAACCTGCTTACTTCTGGTCCCTTATCTGAAGACAAATAGAAACTCAGATTCATTCTGATATAATAAAAACAGTCCAAGGCAAATTTGCAACTGGGAAAATAAAGTTCATAGTATCTTCTCTTATCTTATGAATGCTGTCTCTGTCTGTTTGAGTATTTGTCAGTAACTGACCTTTGATATTCTGAATGCATTAGCTCACACAAAGCAAAGCATGAATGGAAAACGTCAGTGAGTCGTCTCTCTCTTATTCAGCGGTCATCATACATCACAATATTTAAATTTGCTGGCACACACTCAAACTCACTCAAACCAACCTTCCCTGAGATGCTCTGCGCTCCTGTTGCCAAGGATTGTGATGAATTTTTCCTCATCCGTGCCAAACTTTCCCTCCCCAGCGGCGTACAAGTCCTGTGGTGGCAGATTGTACATTCACACACTTACGCACACGGAGTAACCTCGTGTGTGGACGTGATTTATTGGAGCTCTCAGTAAGAGAAATAATGAAAGGAGGCGGATATAGGACCTTGTTCAGTGTCTAAACTACAAAGACAAGTTCGTTTTTCTTAGTCATTCTTTTCTGTTTGATTTTAAAAAATCTGTATTTCAGGTCCTTTATTTGAAATATTGCATCATCATTACATGAGACTGCTACTATGATTTGTGTTTGACGTCAAGAGAGACAGTTTATTATCTTTGGATCCCAATTCACAGTTCAATATCCATCAATAAAAAATGTTTTATAGGAAACAAGATGATCCACTCTCAAAGGTTTGCGTTCTTAAATTAATTAATCTGTCGACTCTTCTCCGGCTTTGCCCTTTAGCCTATCTCTACAAACACAATCACTGAATATGTTGACATTTTAAAGATGATATTAAAACTAGTTTAAATGTTATCTGTTTTATTCACCTGTGTGCAGGATTTTTCTTTGGTTTTGATTTTTGAATTTTGCTTGTGTAATACTAAACTTGTCACTTGGTCTTTTACAGGACGAGGAACGGGACCCAAGTGCAGAAGTAAACATGAAAGATTGTTTTTGGAACTTTAAAAAGTAAGCTTCTGTTTTGTATTTTTTTGCCTTTTTTTTTTTAGTCACAAGGAATAGCAACAAGCAGTCACTGGGGATCAGTGGAGGTTCTAGACCACTTTTACCTCAGAGGGGAACATTAAACCCAGGTGAAAAATAGACAAAGATTATCGCTTTTAAAAAAAAATATATATATTATGCCAAATAATAGCGCACATAATTAAATACCATGATTTATATTTGTTTCAGTATTTAATACTAGATTGTGAGTCCAGTTGTTGAGTCAAATACTGTGTAGGTAGGTTCTTCCTTTAGGAGGGGTGGCCACAGAGGGGACCAATCTCAGTGTTACAGGGGCACTGGCCCCTGTTGGCCCCTGACTAGAACCGCCCATGCTGGGAACGCTGTGGGTAGATGTATGAAACTGCCACAGAAAGAAAGGTACACTGAGACTAAGGTGGGTATTTTTGGCATTTTTAAAAAGATGATTTTGAGAACTTAGCATGTGTGGACATGATTCTTTTTTGAAACGTGGACTAGGCCTAAATAGATACCGGGGTAATCAGACACAGGTGAGACGAACGACGCAGGTAAAGACAACCAGGGCGATCAGAACTGGAGGGAAGAAACACTCGACATGCAACACAAGATTAAACAGGAAGTACTGCAAAATAAACTCAGGATTATTGACAGTATTAACAGTCTCTGTTTTTGAATGTCTTTAATTTTTAGCCTCTCGTGTTATAAATGACTGCATTAACAGCCTACATATATTTATACTTGTTTTCTGAGAATAGGAAAGAGCCTGAGAACCAAAAATGTTATTAATTATGACTATTACAAAGTAACATTATGTACATGTGATTATAAAGGATGGGTTAATGTTTTTGTATTTCCTCTTTTCATTTTGAACATCTACAGTATGTCTAATTAAAATCTTCAGTTCAGGATAATCCCCTTTTTGATGGTTTGACATTTTATCTGGGGATCATTTTAGGTTACTCCTTGGCTAAGAACAGTTGGCAAACTATTTGAGACTCCAGAAGGGGACTGCTCCCTGCCAGGAAATGGTCCATATTTCATGTTTGTGTTTTGCAGATTTAGTTCAGACTCATCACTCTTGTGGTGCAACCAGGGAGCAATAAGTGTCAAAGAGCAACATCTTCTTTGTGATGTAGAGTTTTACATGTCCAGGAGATTGCTTATAAATATAAAATGTATTCTCTTGAATTTTTAATTGTCTGATATTTATAGAAAAGATGTATAAAGCCACAGGGTTTTGTCATGTTCTTGTTTCTTACCTTAGCATCTTTCTCGATCTTTGCCTCGTCCACTCCCTCCTCCCTGCTCCCCTTCTCAGACAGACAGGTGGAAGGTTGGAGAGATAGGTTGATAAACAGAGAGAGAAAAAGTATGTGTGGATGGAAACACAATGAGCCCGGTCCGCCCAGGTAAACCCTGAAGATCACATTTCCCCCCCCGAGGGTCCCAGAACCGTGCAGATAATATTTCTGCTGTAAACCTATTGTAGTGGATTGTGCTTTCCTAACCCCCTTCCCCTTCCTCTCTCTAACACCTAAACACCTCATGACTTGGTAATGGCATCACCAGAGGCTCTCATTATCAGGTAAGGAAACACAAGTACCCCCCCGTCCTACCTGCAGGAGGATCACCAGTAGTTTCTGAAAGTGCCCTGAGGTGTCACCGGAGATATCTTTCTCAAGCTTGCCGCCAAACTCTGGGTGGAAAGAGGAGAAGAGGGACAGAAGATTGCTTACATTTCCAGCCCGGAAAAATCTCTAATGGTTGCCATCGACCCTCCCGAGAGGCCCTCCGTCCTGCAGGAGGATCTCAGACAGCAAAAGATTTGATTAGTGGGCTGAAGGACAGATTGGCCTTCTCTTTCTCCCGAGATCAAATAAACTGTCCTCTTCGCTTTTGGCCCCTTGGTGAATTTGTTTTCACATATTTTCCACCAAGGTTTGTTGCAATTTGAACTCTGGTTTGTCATAAACGTTCTTGCCATGATGCTTTCAAGTGTTCAGAAGGATTAACTCCTTCATGTTACAGAGGGGAACCGAAGGCTGATGCACCAAGTGAACTGTGCACATGGGAAAGAAGGTCCCTAAGTTTTTATACGCACTGCAAGATGTAATTTTTATATGACATAATAAATAAGATGATCAAGCATTGCTCCCATTATAGTTCCTTTTGTTTTTTCTGTCCCACAAAACGAAACCAATTAATTTCCCCGGAGTGGACGAGGTTTCCACACAAAGATATCTGAAGTGTCTCAAAAGAACGCCTCTATGATGGTGAAGGTGAGAATTGTTTAGCCATGCTTGATCCGACTTTGTTTCCTCGTCTCTAGGTCCTTCCTCCTGTTGTTCTTACTCTCTGATGTTCATTATGGGGGTAAAAAGATGAAGTACGGCAATAGAGCGCCACAGGAACATTCAGACTTTCCAAACTGAAATCACGAGAACACACTGAAGTCAGAAGAACGACTTCCCAACTCGGGAACTTGGACAGCACATGAATGCATCATAATACCGGCAAAACCAAATGCAGTTTTATCAGTTTCAGCTGCTCTTTTGTGCTTAGACAAAGTAAGGATTTCAAGGTTGTAGATCAACATGGTATGATACGGTACGGTACAGTATGATATGGTCCAATACGATACATGTGGATTGTTGTTTATATCTATTTATCGAGCTATGGAGGCAGTTAACCCTCAGACTATCCTCAGTCTGAGGGTCAGTGAAGTGTATCGAATTGTTTTCATTTTATTGCATCGTATCATATGTTTTAGGTCACTTCTGGCTCAGAGAAGTCACATGCTGGAAGCCAAAAACCTGATGTCACAAAGCTTAAGTCCAAATACAATAAAAGGTTCCAACACACATGGCTTGTGTCCAACTTTCAAAAACAGAAAACAAGACTGAAACAGCATGTTAGCATAGCATTTAACTCAGGACACTTCTGTGACACATGTAGCAGCTGCAGGTGTTTGTAATCTTCTTCTTGTTGTATAAATGAAACTGTTTAAGTTTTGGGACTAGTAGACTAAATAAAAACGTTGTTTGAGTTGGTTTACAGTCGTATTATTCCATCTAACACCATCAAGAAGCATCAGAATATCAAATCAATACATTCCCAAGAAAAACACATTTGTCTACTTTTCTTTCTCTCTTTCTTCACAGCTGGGCGAGTCACCTTTCTTGTAGACTTTGATGATATCTTTAATCTGCTCTCTGCTCCTGGAGGCCAGGATCTCAATCAGCACGTCGTCATCAGTCCCGGCGCCCTGGGAGCAAAACAACAATATGAGGATGAACTCAATATGAAGGGAACACGGCTTTGTGCGGCAAGCGTGTCCTCGGAGCAATCTTATCTTTTTGTTGTTATTATATTCTTCTCATGGCTCCTTAAAGAGACAAAAGCTGAAATATGTTAAAGAGAAATGGTTGACACTCTGAAGACGCCTGACATTAGAGAATAAACTCGGTCTGCTGAAGTGAATTAGCTTCAGGAGTTCAGCCGTAAAATGAAAGATAATTCAGCTCGCTTTGCTGTAATTAACCTTCCAGCACAATACATCTGACGTACCAAAGCTAAAACGGAGCTGTAGGTGTGATGGGAACGTCGAGGCCAAGACCTAAATGCTTTGCCTTCACTTTGATTGAACATTTCATTTCATTTCAGACTCGTACTGCAAATGTAAATGTGATTAAATAAGAGCCCAGATGTAGCTTCCATCTGTAGCTTATTAGCGGATCACGAGTTTGCTGAACCTTTTTTTCCTCGGGCAAACTTCCCTTCAAACTTTACGAGCCTTCAGTGCGACATTAAGATCTGCAGAGGTATGTATGCTGTAAGGAGAAGAAAAAGTCTGAATATCTGAGCCATAAAAACAAATTAGCTAATAGATCTAACCCCAAAGCACAACTCAAAATGCCCAGATTTTATACCTCTGTACTGTGTGTGTGTGACAGACTCATTCATCTGAGCCACATTAAAGTGAAATGGATAGACACGCAGAGAAATAAAATCCTGAACGAAAGACAGAATATGTGATAGAAATAGTGCTAATAATGAAAAAATCTGAGTTATATTGCGAGTAAAAAACTAGCCTTAATCTTTGACTTTCAATGGATTTAGATCCGACTCAAAGAGAAAGACAAAGTTAACTAATTCATAGAAATGACACCTTATGAAGGATGATTTAATTATGCAGAACAGGAAGCGTATTGAACACCCGGCTCACATGGTGATGTGGTTGTTTTTCATGTTGAATTACATCCTGACTGCGGCTGCAACACTTTGCTTTTGAGGTGATTTTGGTTGAGTTGCTTTTGTTGTGCCTTTTTGCCAGAGGGAGATCATTTTGGGTGCAACATATTATGTTCGTTTTTTGAGTAGAATATTTGATAAAGTCCTTGAGTGATTTTCATGAAATGCGTCCAAATAGCTGAGCATGTGTCAAGGAAAAACCACTTCAAATTTGGTTTTGGATCTCACAAATTCCAACACTGTTGTCGACAGAAAAGTCTGCTGTGACTTATCGTACCAAACTAAGAATCTCAGATATTACCGTAGAAACAAAGGCTGCAGATGTGTAAGAAATGCAGATTTTTTCAGAGTCGAAAGAACCAAAATAAGCCGATTTAAAAGCTTTATATGTGATTTTTTGATCCAGCAGATGTCGCCCTTGAGCACCAGAATGAAACCAAAACAACTCGCGCTGCATTGTTGTGTTAGCATGCTAATGCTAGCGATCTTTATTATGCTGGTATCTTCACACTGCATGTGAATTTACCTGAAATGAGCGTGATCTAGAAACACAGTTAAGCAGTGAGTACAGTATGTTATTCTTCTTTTCTCTAGTCCCTCAATTAAACAACTTTTATACACGAGGGGAGGAGTCAGCCGGCCGGCCTGGCGATGTAAACAAACTGAAGATAGGACTCTGAAAACTCTGAAAACATCACAGACAGTGGGACTCGGGTGTTACACCCATTGTAGACAGTCATGACTCACAGAGTTATTTTCAGAGGATATACTTGATTTCTATTATATTTAAGTGTGAAAAATCACATAGAAAGCCTTTAAAGATTGTTGTCGGCTTCAGTTAGACGCAAACAAAAAGGGAATATAAAAAACATGACTGACACATTGATGTAACAATGACTTGCAAGAAAAGCCTGAACAGAAAAATCTCTGTGACAAAATAATTTAATCTTCAAATTAATTGGATTGTGTCCTTGTCCTTTATTATCAATTTTCACTTATGAGAATTGAGATTTTCATGCTTTCAAACCCTAATTAGAAGCTCTGCCTGTTGAATACCAACACAATGATTCATTCATGTCTCAAATGATTATTGTTTAAACTCCGCAACAAGCCAACAAACAAAAGAATCCTCTTGCTGTTTGTAGTTTGGACATGTTGGAGCTTAATTTGAGTAGTTGTAAATGTTGAACAGATGTTAAATACTCCTTCCTCCTGGCAGACGTGTCAACATGCAGCTCACAGGTGAACCTGATACACCGTCAGAGAGGGCTGAGTGGGATTTATGTGGGCCAGTGCCGGGCTCATTTATTTTGCATGTTGGCTCAAAGCTCACTGGCATGGATTAAATAATGAAGATAGAATGAACGCCATCAATAAAAAGTCTGGATCAGGGAGCGAGAGGAGAAAAGACTTTAAACTTTCCTTTCTGATAAATCTTATCGTTAGAGCTGGTGCAGGTCGGACCAGCTCCTAGTTCTGCTGCTATAGGTTTAGACTGCAGGGGGGACTCCCTCCCTCTCTCTCGCTCTGTTTCTCCCTCCCTCTCTCTCTGTCTCCCTCTCTCTCTCTCTCTCTCTGTCTCCCTCTCTCTCTCTCTCTCTCTCTGTCTCTCTCTATCTCTCTCTCTCTCTGTTTCTCTCGCTCTCTTTCTCCCTCTCCTTCTCTCGCTCTCTTGCTCTCTCCCTCTCCCTTTCTCTCTCTCTCTCTCTCCCTCTCTCTTTCTCTCTCTCCCTCCCTCTCTGTTTCTCTCTCTCTCACTGTCTCTCTCTTTCTCTCCCTCCCTCCTTTGCTCTCTGTCTCTCTCTCCCTCTCCCTCTTTCTCCCTCCCTCTCTGTTTTTCTCTCTCTCTATCTCTCTCTCTTTCTTTCTCTCCCTCCCTCCTTCTCTCTCTGTCTCTCTTTCCCTCTTCCTCCCTCTCTCTCTCTTTCTCTCCCCCTCTCCTTCTCTTTCTGTCTCTCTCTCCCTCTCCCTCTCCATCTCTCTCCTCTCCCTCTCCATCTCTCTCCCTCTCTCTCTCTCTCTCTCTCTCTCTCCCTCTCTCTCTCCTCTCTTTATCTCTCCCTCTCCTTCTCTCTCTTTCTCTCTCTTTCTCTCTCACTCTCTCTCTCTTTCTCTCTCTTCCCCGCATGTCATTATGTGGAGACTTTCATGCACGATGTTTCTAACACATATTTTCCTGGGAGCTCCTGAGCTCGTCTCGTAGTTTCCTCTGGTTCGTTGGTGGGGGTGGCCTGCTGTTATGGACCCCAAATAAAGATTTACTGACTGATTGATGGTAATTGTTGATTCTATCATCTCAGGAATTTAACTACATTGTATATAAAGGCTGCAACCTGGAGTGGAGACTCTGCAGCCTTCCTTAGTTAGTTTAGTACAGATACTTGCATATACAGATGCTTGGGTAATTCGTAGCAGCGATAAGCTAATGTTTTGCACATTTGTGATAACTGTTGTTATCTGTTTCATGTATTGTCTCTGTGCAGCAATTTCCCAGACAAATTTCTCCCGAATAAAGACACCTTGACCTGGTTGGTCAAGTTGAGAGCCTTGTGTTAGTTACCTTGAGAGCCTTGTGTAGCTGTGTAGCATCATATAAGGAGGGAGGGGTCATCAAGGCAACAATCAGACTCTCCAACAGCCCACCGAGCTCTGATTTCAATGCACTGACCAAATCCTGAAGGGGGGGGGGGGGACAGGACAAACAACATGAAGAGCAAAATTTATAAAAAAAATGGAACAAACATAATAATTACCACAAGAAGAAGAAACACAACACCAGAAATTAATTAAATCTTTATTTAGAAATATTTCCCTATACGCCAGCAGCTAATGAGACGACTTCATCTTAATTGATCTGAATCAATGACTCACAAAATCAAGGAATAAACGAGCACGAGTCCATGAAAACATCAAGTGATGGCATATATCTTATTTAAGTGTGTGTGTGCATGTGTGTGTGTGTGTGCGTGGTGGGGACTTCAATCTATTTATCTATTTAACAGTTCAATCTATATGCGCCTCTGACAGAGAACCCCTTATTTCTAGATTACATCCATTTCTTTTATTCACGTAACGATCTGTTGCCAGTTTCATTTCTGTTAAAAGCCATTCCAATTAATTTGCCTTTAATGGTTTGTCAAAAGGAGCATGAGAGTGCAGGCATAGGATATAGGAGCTTAAACTCTTCAGGGATTTGATACGACACTTAAAAAATATTTAATTTCATCTTTACGTCCTGGCACAGTTCTCCTCTCAGATTTTATTGCAAACGAGTAGCTGAATGTCGCCTTTGTATTATATCATACAATGCAGCACAATGAGCAAGTGATGAAGGCTATAGGCTCCTTTCTGTGCACATTTTGAGAAAACTCTTCAATCTCTGACAATATTAAAGCAGCCATACTTTTTTTTTTACTCTCACACTGTTTCATCTATTTTTACTTCAGGAAGCAATTACATTTGTCAGAGTGGTTTTTTTTCAGTAACCCACACAGGAAAAAAAATTACTTCAATCCACAGGTGGTCAACCTGACAGTGTGACGGAACAGGAAAGTGTTAAATGGCTTTCTTGACAGCTAAGAGCAAAAATGGGACTTTCCACCTCTTCTGTGACTCATTTCTCTTTCTCTGTGATTCTTAATGACAGATATCTTGGGGTGTTAGATGGTTGAATGACTTATCCCCCTCCTCCTCTTCACCAGTTCAAATAAGTCTCAGAGCTCCTCAAAACATGTGTGTGAAGTCTCTTGTTCTAAATCCAATCTGATCCTGTATTTGATCATGTCTATAAACCCCTCTATTTCAGCCCTGCTCAGAACAGGCTGTTTCTGTGTCTGTACCTTTAAATATGTAAATGAGCTGTGTCTGACCACGCCCCCTCTCTGGAAGGGCTTGGGTTTACTCAGTGCTTTCTTGCTCCATGTCCTATCGTTTACGGTGAGAAGGCAGACTCAGAGGGCAGAACAAACACCTAGCTGTGGGAGTGTCACCCACCTGGGGGAGGGGCTACTGCCCTTTGTGATGTCATGAAGGGAAAATCTGCAACCCTGCAGTGTTCTTCAGTTAAAGATAAACAAGGACTTTTTTGGGGCTGCAAATCATTCAAAGCTACTCTATAGGTGTCACAGACTGACAACATGAAAGATAAACATAAGGAGAATATGAAATCTTTAAAAACTAAATGTTGTTTCAAGCTGTTAAAGAAGCTTTAACAATATATTTGCGATCTGTTTTTTAAAACGGTTTTCAGTAGGAGTGGATGTGCTTGGACAAAAAGGGGTGAATAGGAAGGAATTGAAAGATGGACCAGTTTGTGTGCATTTTGGTCCCAGCGGCTCCCCTCACCTTTCCGTAGGCCTTTTTGTACGCTGCTTTAATTTGCTGCCGCTGATCGTTGCTGCGTGCTGCCAGAAGCATGAGGATGGCGTCCTCGTCCGTACCTGCACCAGAAATCAAAGACATACAGCGAGACATGAGGAAACAATTAAAGGTGGCTAAAATCAGCTTACTAATAACGTCACATGTTTAATTAACAAAGGACAAAGGTTATAAGTTACGGAAGAGGATTAGGATAAAAAAATTCAGAACCAAAAATGTTTTTTTTTAGTGTCCCTAATCGTCTTCTGTAATAACTGAAGAAGAAGAACTCAACTTTTAAACTCTGACGATGTGATGATGTCTATTGAATTAATTTTACTTCTTTGTGTCCTTGATAACACAAAGCGCTTATTTAACACTGCTTGAGTTGGCGCACATTATCTAGCCTCTTCTCCTAAGCAAAACCTGATGGAGAATAATTGACAACTTGCAATATACATTGCATTGGGTAGGCCAATGATCAAACAATCAATAACTCCTGACAGAAAAAACAGCTCAGAGGACAAACAGGAACGAGAGCAGGGTGCGGTGTTTCCTCTGAGGGATCAAAGTGTTGAATTAGCCCAAGGTAATTACGCCCCGAACCCCCCCCAGGACCTCTAATGACAGCTTTAACAGAGGATCAATGTCTACTCTGGTTATCGCTGTATCCTCCCTGTTGTTCGTTTTTTTAGTTCCACATTTAATAGCTAAGTTGTGAAACAGATAAGAGCCTGGAAATAGAAAGGTGGTGGTGGTTGTCAATACGGTTGCTTTAAGGTTAATCGTACCACCATGCGTGCCTGTATTCACCTTTTAATTTAATGATAATCATCCGGCTCATTGATTTACTCTAATGACTGCACAGAGGCGTTTGGATTTCTCCGTTTTTGTATCTCTGCAAGTGAAAAGGAGATCACATGAGCGAGGGGGGAAACTAGGACAAAGGTCAAACTATTAAAACATGGAAACACCTTTAAAACCGAAGCAAAAATTGTGTTACAGGAGACCCTCTTTGGTGGTACAGTCGGTGCTCATTACTGCTGTGTTCTTTGCAGAAATTTACTGAACACGTCTTTAGAATATTTCTAAAAAAGTTTAAAGCCGGTGAAACTTTCTTATCTAATTAGACCAAACACAGTGGGGAAAGTCGAGTTATATCCATGCACCAGTGGATTAAACTAATTGTTGAGGGCAGGAAACTGAGAAAAAAACAAAATTTCCCTGACAGCTGTGTCATTGTTGGTTTTAGAGAGAAGCAAAAGCAGCAATAAACTGCATAATGAAACAACGCTGATTGTACTGTTTTTGAACAAACTCTACAGTATTTATTTTTTTAACTAATGACACAAACAGAACTGTCACATGTGGGAAAATAAACCAACAGTGGCTTCAACGTTCAATGAAGCAACTTTATTAAAGCCGGTCTCTTACAACTTTGAAACAAGCTTTTCCAGAAGTCTCAGCAATAAACCACCAACAAAAAAACTTTTGGAGAATCTCTGTTTGTCCATCTTTCCAACATAGAAATATGAGATGACATTGATAATATGATGAGTTATTTTGGGAAACTTACCGATTCCTTTCATGGCTTTATGAAGGATTTCAGCATCATGTTTGGCGTTGAAGTTGACGAAAGGTTTGACGCTGCCTCTGTGCTCCTGTTAGATGATAGAAACACAAATCACACACTAAATAAAAATATTGTATAAAGATACTGTGTCTGTTGTCACCACAACCACCGCCGTCCTCATTCATGCACAGCCTGCAGCGACCTCCACCTCAGCAGAGGTAGGAAGTGTGAACAACAGGAACACGAGGAATAAATCCTTTCTGCACAAGAGCATGGTAGGTCAGTACGTAAATGACCATCAAGCAGGTTCACTGTAACTAAAGGTGTTGTCTGGAAAAAACAGGCAACATGCAGCCAATCAGAATCAAGACATTATGAGATGATAAAGCACTCTCTGACCAATGGATTCACAGTTCAGTCGACCCGTCTGAGTGTGACTGAGTGGAGATGTTAGACCCACTTAGACTTTAAGATTGAGTCAGTAGCTTTTTCCTAAACAATGAAACATAGACCTTTACTAAAGTAATGCTGCTCAATCATCTGTCCTGACTGGATTTTTGATGTTTTGGTTGACTCGGGACATTATCTGGACGGGGAGCTGGTGTCTTTCTTCAGCCAATGACAGCAGGCAGGCGAATTCGGGAGTGAATACTATTCAGTGATTGGACGCTACACAAACTAGTGAATATGGTCGATGTGGACGTAGCGGAAAAGAAGAGAAAATATAATCACAGTGAGGCGAGATGCCAAGACGATAAAGCTCGTTACAAAACAAGGGTAACCCCTTGGTTGGCTTTCACCCGCCGAGTGGAGTTGGCCGTCTTTCTGTTTGACAGGCAGGCAGGTGGCAAACATCGAACGTTAGCCAGCGCTAGCTTGCTAAATAATTGGCTTTTCCATCAGAACAAATGAAATATTCTCAGACAGCTTGAAGTGTAGGTACAAGCAGTAAACCGTACACGCTAACCGTAGCGATGAGCCCAGAAGGAGGGGCCTAATTTGAATGTTGTGTTTACAAACTGCAAAAAACATTTCTACTGACTCAACCTTTGAATTTAAATCGTTTTCTGTTTCATTCAGGATGTTTTTTTTTGGTTTTTTTGCAGGTCAAATTGGTGTTAACAGTTTCACTTCACCTGATGTGAAACTGGTTGGTGGTCACTGTGATAGGCCCAGACCCCAACATACAAAATTGGCCACACTAATGAGGTAAATTACGCCTATGTCTGTTTGTTTCATGCTTTTGCAAACAGAGGCGCTGCTCGTAAACAGGCAAGGCAGGCAACTGCTTTGGGCCCCAGACCATTAGCGAGGCCCAAAGCAGCGGCGGAAAATGTGCAAATGTTGCATTGATGGTAAAAACATTCAAAATGAATGTTTCATGTCGAGCATCACATCCCGAAAGATACTTGATATTTCTGTGAACGATCCCTGTAGCAGCACTATTACAATTTAGCAGGTGGCCATCCACCAGTATCCACACAGGGCAAGCAGGGAAGGTATAATTGAAATCAAGTCTGGCTGCCTTTTTATGATAATTTAAAATAAATGTGCTGTGTCTCACTCGGAGGAGATTGTTCTGCCATTTGAAGAAAAAGCAATAAAACATCTGCCTCGGCTGCAGCCTTGTTTCAAACTCCAGCGCAGGTGGGAGAAGTGAAACAATATTCCCCTCCCTCTCCTCTCCTCCTCTCCTCTCTCCTCTCCTCTCCTCTCCTCTCCTCTCCTCCCTCCCCTCTCCTCTCCTCTCCTCTCCTCTCCTGTTTCCGTTTCCGTTTCCGGTTTCCGGTGAGTGTGAGTGTGAGTGTGAGTGACGGTGGTGGTGTTGCGAGTGGCGCGGAGATTGAATTGTTTGCTATCCTTTCTACTGTTTTCAAAGTGCACGATCAGGTCAGTTTGTTTTCATATTTGTATTGAGTGTTGTTGGCTGTGTAAGACAGATCGTTGGAGGGGTTGGAGGGAGGAATGGCGTCTGCTGAGACGCCACCTCCGACTCTCCGACAGGGAGTTCGGATAGTCCCTCCGAACGGTACTGTCACCGTGGAGGAGGTTCTGTTAGCTGCAGGTGAACAGGTAGGCCATGAGAAACTCTTGTATGCATCCCGAATGAACAAGGCTGTGGTTGTTTTTCTGAAGAGTGAGCCTCTTGTGTATCAGCTGATTGAGAGTGGTGTGTTCATTAGGGATTTGTTTGTGCAGGTTTCCCCGTTGTCGGTTCCCTCTACGCGGATCACCGTATCCGGTGTTCCGCCGTTTATTTCTAACAACTTGTTAGAGAACGAACTCCGCAGGTTTGGGAAGTTTGCGAGTGGTTTCAAAACTGTGAGTCTAGGGTGTAAAGATCCCAAACTGAAACATGTTCAATCTTTGCGGCGTCAGGTGTTCATGTTTTTGGATTCGCCCACACAGACTCTGGAGGTTTCCTTTAGAGTGAAACACGGTGACGCTTCTTATATGGTGTATGCGAGCTCGGGACAACTGAAGTGTTTTGAGTGTGGTGATGTGGGACACAAACGTTTTGCGTGTCCGCACAGACAGCAGGAGGCGGCTAGTGCTGCCGCTGACGCGGGCAGCTCTGTTAGTGTGGCGCATGTGGCGGGGGCCGCGTCCGCGTCCGCGCTTGGGGCGGAGGCCGCGTCTGCGTCCGCGCTTGGGGCGGAGGCCGCGTCCGCGCCCGTGCCTGGGGCGGAGGCCGCGTCCGCGTCCGCGCTTGGGGCGGAGGCCGCGTCCGCGCCCGCGCCTGGGGCGGAGGCCGCGTCCGCGTCCGCGCCTGGGGCGGAGGCCGCGTCCGCGCCCGTGCCTGGGGCGGAGGCCGCGTCCGCGCCCGTGCCTGGGACGGGGGCCGCGTTCGTGCCCGTGCCTGGGGCGGGGGCCGCGTCCGCGTCCGCGCCTGGGGCGGAGGCCGAGTCCGCGTACGTGCCTGCGGCAGAGGCCGCGTCCGCGCCTGCGCCTTGTGCTGAGGCCGTGGCTGAGGTAGAAGTGGCTTCGACCAGCTCTCAGGCTACAGAAAAATCACAGACTGTAGATAATGATAAAACTGAAGATTCCACAAGTTCTGCAGTTGTAGATGTTTCATTGAAGGAAGGTAAGACAGTGTGTTGTAGCCAGGCATCATGTGAAGGAGAGGACATGGATGAAGATTATGAGTCAGACAATGCATCCATTGCTGATTTGCCAAATAGTGGCTCTGGTCTTTATTCTTTAGAGTCAATCAATCAATTTATGGATGAAACGTACAACAAATCAGTAAAAATCAGTGACTACTTTAGTGATACTGAAAAGTTCATAAAGTCAGTCAGCATACTGAAAAGACAGGTTGGGTTTGACCTCCTGGACGCGAAAAACGGTTCCGTCTTAAAAGCACATCACCGCACTGAGGAAAGTTGGACGTAAGAGTGTGAAGAAGACAAAGAAATGATCATGCATCACAAGGTGTTTTTCTTCTTCTACTGTTCCCTGTTTGTGTCTACTTATCTGTTCTTTCTCTCTGATCTTTCTATGAGGAGTCTTAAGATAGGATTCTTAACATTAATGGTGGGAGAGACAGACAGAAAAGGGGCCTTATCTCTGAGATCTCAACTCAGAAAAACATTGATATCTTGTTTTTACAAGAGACTCATACCACACCATCAGATGAGACAGATTGGGGTTTATGGTGGGAGGGCTCTAACTACTTAGCCATGGCACCAACCTTAGTGCAGGAGTAGCCATTTTGTTTAGAGCATCTGCAAATGTAAAGATCGTCTCTTGTGCTGAAATTGTAAAGGGAAGGCTTTTAATTGTAAGAGCAGAAATAGAGGACACTGTTTTCTGCTTCACTAATATTTATGCTCCAAATAATGGAGCTGAAAGGGCAGCTTTTATACCCGCCTCCAAAAGGAGTTACTGATCTATAATCAGGATCAGATCATTCTTGGTGGTGATTTTAACTGCACACTTGATTTCACCGTGGATAGAATAGGAGAGGAGCCACATCCACATTCATCCCAGACTTTAAACACTGTCATCTCTCACCTGGATTTGTTGGACACATTTAGAGTGAAACATCCACAATCCAGACAGTATACATGGTCAGGGTTAACAGTAACAGGGTGTGTGCAGCTAGACTGGACAGGGTTTACATCTCCAGAACTCTCACCCCAGATTAATTCATTGTAATATTCTTCCTGTCGGCTTCACTGATCACCATTTTGTTAGTGTGGAGCTGATTATTTCACCAGGTGAAAGGGCTAAGTCCTTCTGGCATTTTAATAACAAGCTTCTACTGGACAATGTTTTCTGTAAAAACTTTGGGTGTTTTTGGGATCAGTGGCAATTAACAAAAGTTGAGTTTGATTCTTTGAAGCTTTGGTGGGAGGTTGGTAAAGCTCAGATTCGTGTTTTTGTCAGCAGTAACGTCACACTCTTCTGCTAGATTAAAAACAGTCATTAAAAATCTTGAGGACAACATTAAGAACCTTGAGGAGGGGTTAATGGGAGTGTGGATCCCACCACTGGTACCTGCTGAAGGAGAAACGTATGGAGTTGAGCTCTTTCCTGCAGGAGAGGGTGAAGGGAGCTC